CTCCTCCTCGCCCTCGGTCAGGATGTCGTCACCGTGGATCGCCGAGGTCATGTCCAAGAGAGGCTCGTGGTACACGCCCGCTGCCACCGCGATGCGCGTCCAGTTGTTCTTCTTGAATACCCCGGCCACGTACTCCTGCCAAGCCTGTGCCGCCTTGCGCGTGCCGTACATGGCCTTCCGGAGCTGCCACACGTACCCGTCTCTCCTGAGTCCTGGAGGCGGGATGACGACGATCCGCTCGTCGAGGTCGGCGTGGAAGAACGCCACGTGTACGTCATGCACCGAGAGATGCCTCCGACCCTTCTTCGTAGCCGCCAAGGAGACGATCGCCCTGACGATGGCGATCGGCGGCGTGCCCGCGTTGCAGTCCTCTCGGCCGTACGTGTTGATCTCCATGGCGACGCCTCGGGATCGGACAAAGGGGGTGCCGTCCTTGGTGCGCAGGTCCTCGACCCACTTGAAACGCACCACCTTGCCCCGACTCTCGGCCACGCGGACCTCCTCGAAGACGCCGTGTCGCCGCATCTCTTCGATCTCGGCCTCGCGCCCGCGCCTGACCAGGTCCCTGGGAAGCTCCTTCCCGCTCCTCGCGTCGTACACGTGCTTCTCCGTGTCTGGCAGGACCGTGATCGCTGCTGGCTCGACGGGGCTGACCTCGAACATCCCGATCTCCAGCGGCTCGCAGCTCTCGATCTCCGTGACCGTCTCGAGCTCCTCGTGAGACTGCTGGTCTAGGCCCTCGTACGTGCAGGGATTGATCTCCACGAAAGCCCCGACCGCGAGCGACCCGACTGTGATCGCCGCTGTCTGGCGCGGCCTCTTCGCCGAAGCTTCGCCCTGGTCATCACGAGGTGCCATGCTGGCATCCCCGGACGATCCTGGCCTGCCATCTCCAGCTCCAGCCGCTGGCCCCGGCGCGGCTCCAGCCGCCGCCGGCGTCGGCGCAGCCCCCGCCGCTGCCGACGAGGGAGCGGCCTCTGCCGCTGCCCTGGCCATCTCCTCTTTGCGCAGCTCGTTCTCGATCCTCTTCCGGCACTCCTCGCTGTGCGATCCCATGCCTGTGACGCACCTCGGGCACATGGGGGTCCAGCCGTACTTGTCGATCAGCGCCCTCGTGATGTACGTCGACCTTAGCCCTGCGCCTCCTGGCCCCGTGGGCGGCGCCGGCCCGACCATCGCTGGTGGCACCAGCGCCTCCGGGCCCGCGGCTGGCAAGACCACTGGCGGTGGCGGAGGTGGCGGCAGCAGCCGCTGCTGGTTCGGCTCCACCTGGGGCGCTCCCGTCGGCACGATGCCGATCTGTGGAGCTCGGTGCATGTCCCACGGCACCCCAGCGAACCTGTCCAGCTCCTCCAGCACGAACCGCTCGCCCTCAGGTCGCCGTCTCACCGTGCGTACCCTTGTCGTGCGCGTCGGACCCGCCACTAGGTGCTCGTCCGAAACCTCTGTCTTGCCCAGCCACACCGCCGCGTGCCACCGAGGCTGCAGCTTGGAGGTCGGCGTGGGGTCCCTCGCCCAAACGCACTCCGCGAAGTTGACGAGCTCGCCCCGATACGGCCTCCCCTTGAGCACCTCGTAGGTCGTCTTGCCGTTGCCGTGCATCGTGAAGCGGTTGAGCTGCCAGCCAGCGTGCCGAATGAGCCAAGGTAGAAGCCCATGCTCGGCTGGGAGCTCCCGCTTGTAGTTGTCGCCCACCGAGAACAGCAGCGCTCTGATCTGCTTGCCGAGCTCCTCGTTGGCGCGCTCCACTCCACCAACTCCCTGGTGGTTAGCCCGCTGAGCTGACTCGATCATCGTGGGCGCCTTCCGCTGAGCCTTGATCTCCCTCGCCAGTGCCGTGATCGACGCCTCCTGGTCGTGCTTCAGCACGATGCGATCCAGCCCCCAGTTCTCGATGGTGGCGACCGCTGTCTTGATCATGTAGGCGTCGGTACCCTTCGGCCCCATGATGCCATGAATAGCCTGGGAGTTCATGTGCACCATGTTGAGGATGCTCAGCTGGCCCAGGAAGTAGTAGTCGATCTGGACCTCGTCGCCCGTGCGCTCGTGTCCGTCCTTGTAGTGCGGGTCGTCCGTGAACTTGGACCTGACGCACACCCAACACCAAGACCTCGCAGGGATGTGCACCAGCTCGTGCGTCCTCTGCTCGGCCAGGCTTGGCTTCAATGGATCCTTCTTGACTCGAACTGGCACGGACTCCTCGAGCTCTGCCTGCGCGGCTGGCTCGCTCGCCTCGGCCTGGGCGCGAGTCGCGGCAGCCCCTCCGCCGCCGCTGCCCTGGAGCGCGGCCCTCGCCGCTGCCCTGGACGCAGCTGATGCGCCGCCAGGCTCGCCTCCTGGCTCCTCGCCCCGCACAGGCATGACGAGCGAGTTCTTGACGCCTTCCCCGTACCTGTCCATCTTGAGGTAGAACAGGTCGTTGCGCCTGACCAGCGGCACGGCGTCTGGGTCCGAGAACTCGATCGGCTTCGGGATCATGTAGCTCCCACTCGGCGTGAACACCCACGACGTACCCTTGTCGACCGCCTGCGACACGCCCAGCACTGGCCTCTTGACGTCGGCGACCTTGTAGTCCACCCCGATCTTGTGCCTGCCCTTCGCGTACGTGACGAAGCGCTCGCCGTGGCACGGGATGTCGTCGCCGCTCGCTCCGACCAGTCTGATGCGCTCGCTCAGGTCTCTGAGTGTCTCATGGGCCCCGTGACTCGGCGGACACACCGATCGTGCAGCGCCTGAGTCCACCATGACCCAGTGCTCATTGATACCGATGACCTCCTTGTTCTCGAACGTCTCGTGCTCGCTTGCTGCCTCTGGCTGACTCAGCTGCTCGATCGGGCTGGCCCCGACCAAGAATGGCTGCTTCGGCTGCGCGTGCTCGCCTGATGCCTCTGACGGGCTCAGCCGCTCGATCGGGCTGGCTCCGACCAAGGATGGCCGCCTCGGCTGCTCGTGCTCGCTTGACGGCCCGCTCGAACGACGGTGGATCGCTGTCGTTGCTGGGGCTGAGGGTGTCGCTGCTGCTCCACTCGATGATGATTCTTGACCTTCTCCCAGCTCGATCGCGAGGCACCACAATGGCTCTGCCCCGCTTTCGGTCGCGATCGCCATCACTGGCGCAGCGCTCCCCGCGGCGCTCGCCGCTGGTGGAGCTCCCGTCGGCTTCGGCTCCTGCTCGACTGCGTTGGTGCCCTTCTTCTTCTTCTGCTCTGCGAGGAACTTCCTGCACTCGCTCCTGACGTGACCTGTCTTGTGGCAGTGGAAGCATCGTTTCTCGGCCCTGTCTTTGGCCGCCTGGCTCTTCTGGTCCGTGGAGTTGTCGCCGCCCTTGCCCTTCCTGCCTTTGCCGTCCTTGCCCTTCTTCCCTTTGCCCTTCGACGCCGCCTCGCGCCTCGCTCTCTCCACCGCACTCGTGTCCATCGGAACTGGTGGCGGCACTGATGAGATGGCACTCCTCGTCGAGATCACCATGTGAACTTCGTTGCGCATGAGTTCCCATGTGACCAGCCTCGACGCATTGTGGACTAGATGCGCTCGAAGAGCCTCGTCCTGAATCCCGCGCTGGAGGATCGCCATCTTGATCCTGTCCCCGATCCTCTCGTGGCTCTGGCTCTCGTACTTCGTGACTTTGAAGTCGAAGTCGGCCAGCATTCCCACGATGTTGTCCTCTGGGAACTGGAACGCGATCAGCTCTTGCAGCAGTCCTGCATGGCGACCTGGTCTGTCGGGCTCGTACATGTCTTGCAACGTCCTCCACGCCCGATAACCTTCTCCGACGCCGACTGGCTTGATGAGCTGCAACGCGGCTCCCTCCAACAGCAGGACGAGGATGAAGTACAGCTGGCGACTGCGCTGACTCGCTCCTTCCTCCAGAAGCCTCGCGTTCCTCACTTCCTCCAGTGGGAACGTCATCGCCGCTGTCAGCTCGTTGGCCATCTGCTCGTCGAGAGCTCCGAGATAAGCGAGCATCTTGAAGCTCCACCCTGGCCACTCGTCCTCGTTGCCTCCGAACGCCTTCGGCTTCGCCAGAAGCCGAGTGTCCACCAGATCCTGAGGCGCGGCCCTCGCCGCTGCCACGGGCCTGTTCACGGCGGCGCCTGCGCTCGCTGCTGCTGACTCCGCCGCCAGGGCGCGCTCCTCTGCAGCCTGCACCCGTTGTTCTGCAGCCTGCAACGCTCCCTCGAGTGCCTGGAAGCGTCTCTCGATCTCTTCCATACTTCAGATCGAGCTTCTCGTCGAACTTCCTACTCCTCAGGATGTCTGCTTTGTTCGACCTCGAGCCACGCTTAGTCTTCTTCTTCTTCTTCGGCGGCGTCTTGGGCTATGGAGGGCCGGCTGGCGCGGCCCTCGCCGCTGCCAGCCGCCAGGGCGCGGCCTCCGCCGCCGCCCTATCGCGGGCGTGCGCGCCCGCTGCGGGTGGCTGGAAGGGAAGCGGCAGCGGGAGCGAACCCACGCCGCTCCGCTACCATGTCGATGGTTTTTACTTGGACCAAGGGGCTACAGATTAGCATGTACAGTCAACACGCCACCGTGCCCGGATGATTGGTAAGAGTTTTTTGTTGGTTCTCTCGGGGTCTCTCGTGGTGCCTCTCAGGTGCCCTTCGTTCCTCCCTTCCCCTCCCTCGCACTCTTCTGCACCCCCCCTCCCTCACCCCGCCTGCTGGTACAACCAGCAACGACGACGTCAACATCGACGACGTGGACGTCGACGACGGCGACGACGACGACGATGGGGACGATGACGATGATGGTAACGACGACGACGACGACTGCGACGGCGACGGCAACAGCGACAGCGGCGGCGGCGACGACGAGAGCGACGACGACGACGACGACGACGACGACGACGACGACGACGACGACGACCGACGACCGACGACCGACGACGACGACGATCGCGCCGCCGCCGCCGCCGCCACCGCCGATGACGACGCCGCCGACGACGGCGGCGGCGGCGGCGGCAAAGACGACGACGAGGACGCCCTCCGGCCCGACGCGCGGAGGCCTCCTCGAGCCGCGCCGCCGACGCAAAGGGCGAGGCGCTGCTGCTGCGTGCCGTGCAAGACGCGCGGCAGGGCGCGGCGGCCGAGCCCGAGGCCCTGCCGCGAGGCCTGAGGATTCGGAGGCTCGAGGCCCTGCCGAGCCCGAGGCCCTGCCCGAGCCCGAGGCCCTGCCGAGCCCGAGCCCAAGATCGGAGGCTCGACGGACGAGGTCTGGAATTCGACAGACGAGGCCGGAGGCTCGACAGACGAGGTCTTGAATTCGACGGGCGAGGTCCGGAATTCGACGGACGGAGGCTCGACAGATTTGGTGCGGGCACAGGTGGGGACACCCGGATGGCCGAAAACGAAGCAGTAGCAGCTGCCTGCGCGCCCAGGTTTGGTCCCCCCGCGGACCCCCAAGAAGTCGGGCACCGAAGGCCACTCTTACCCAGGGTCACTCTTGCGTATAGCCGATGAGTGTTTTTCGGCATGCGCGGTGCGTCATCGTTGCGCCAGCTGCCTCCGCCCCACCATTCTGGTCAGAACGCACCCGCGGGCAGGCCCCAAAGTCGAGTGGTGGAGGCGGTGTCGTCATCGTCGCCGTAGCCGTCGCGGGGGGGCCCCATCGGGGCCAACGGCGGGGGGGGGACTGGCCCATGGAGGCGGGGGGGGCGACCTCCGATCGCCCATTCACCCAACCATCGCTGACTGGGGCTTAATAAGAGGGGGGTGGGCCGTCTTAAGGTCACAGGTGCTTATTCTGCTAACGGGCCACGAATTAAGAATCGCCGGCCTTGTCATAGGCATTTCAAGGAGTTGGGACCTTGTGGCGAACGGCGCCCAGGAATCAGGAATCAAGGAGGAGTCAAGGGTCGCCATCCCGCGCTGGGGCCACGGGGAGGGTGGGTCCCCGTGGCGAGCGGCACCCAGAAATCAGGAATCAAGGAGGAGTCAAGGGTCGCCATCCCCGCGCTGGGACCACGGTGGAGGGTGGGTTCCCGTGGCGAGCGGCACTCAGGAATCAAAAGTCGCCACCTCCGCGCTGGGGCCACGGGGGTGGGTGGGCCCTGTGGCGAGCGGCTCCCAGGAATCATGCGCCGAGCCAGACTTTGAAAACAACGGCATGCGAAAGGGAAAACGAGGGTCTGTCCTGCAGGAAGGACGGGTCCGAGAACTCAGGAATCCTTATTTGTGGACCTGGTAACCAGAATTTGGTCTGGAATCGGCTCTCTTTATTAAACGATCGTATAATTGTCCACGGTCTTGGCCCGAATTTGAGCCAGAATTTGGTCCGGAACCGGATCCCTTTATGAAACGACCGTTCAAGTGCACACGACACCTCAATGCAACTAGGAGACCCAGGCCATGAATAATAGTATATGACCTTCGACTAGCCCACCCCCCGATTGGCTTGACAGCCCACCCCGCCCGGGAGCTTGCGGTTTTGCTATCGCGAGCCAATCGTCGATCCATCGTCCATCGGCGATATATCGCCGATTCCAGGTCGACATTACCCCCTGAGCCAGACCCCTTCTATCGCTCTACTTCACAGGAGGGTGCTCGCGGTGCGGTTCAGTCGGTTCGGCTGCGTCGCGGTCGGCCGCATTCTGAACGCGTCGGTGCGGTCGGCTGCTGCCACGCCGCCGCGTGCCTCTGGTTTCGTCTCGCTCCGCGAGTCTTTGCTTCGCTGTCGGTTCGATCGGCCTTCGGCTGTGGTGTCGCCGTGGGCGGCCTTGCCCCGCACCAGAGGGCCTTGGAATCGTCGGGGTCTCTGGCTCCCCAGGAGGCCACGGGAGGCTTGCAGGGGGGTGGGGCCCCACAGGCCCCAGAAGGCCGCGGGAGGCGCCGAAAGGACCGCGAGGCACGTCGACGCAAACGACGACGACGACGACGGCGGCGGCGGCGGCGGCGGCGGCGGCGGCTGGCGGTGCGGCGGCGGCTGGCGGCTGCAGCGGCTGCGGCGGCTGCGGCGGCGGCGGCGGCTGCGGCGGCTGCGGCGGCGGCGGCGGTGGCGGCGGCGACGGTGGCGGCGACGACGGCCGTCCTCACCGTCGCGAGGTGGGAAAGCGGTCCCGGAGAGAGAAGCGCCCGAAGGACGGGCGACGGGCGCGCGGGGAGGGCCGAAGGCCGGGCCGGCTTCGGGGAGTGGGAGTCGGGGCTCAGGGCCGGGGGTCAATGCAAACGGGGGTCAGTCAGAGCGCTGGGTCTTGCAGGGTCCTGCAGGGCCAGGGGGGCACTGGCCCAGGCCTGCGCGCACGGCCCTGCAAGATCCTTGCAGGATGCTGCAGGATCCTGTGCACGGCCTGACTGGCCCTGGTCTGGATTGACCGGGGCCAGTAAATCCCAGAAGGAGGAAGGAACGCTACAGGCCAGCACTCTGAGATGACCCAGCAACGACGGTGATAACGGCGACGACGACGATGAAGACGACGACGACGACGACGACGACGACGACGACGACGACGGCTTCGGGGAAGAGGAAGAGGGAACGCTACAGGCCAGCACCCAGCACCTAGTTCGCCCAGCGAAATTAAGAAGGAGGAGGATGAGGAGGAGGAGGAGGAGGACTGACAGCGACGACGACGACGACGAGACGACGACGACGACGGCGACGGCGACGACGACGACGACGACGACGACGACAACGACGACAACGACGACGACGACCCGAATCGCCGGCGCTGCGCCAGCGCGAGCTCAGCGAACTCACCTGGCGAGGCTCGTGCGGGCCGCTGGAGTGGGCTGCACCGTGAGTGCGTCGGGTTGGTGGAGTATAAAGTCGCCGACCAGACGGAGGGACCACTCTGGCACGGTCGTCCCTCTCGAGCAGGTCACCTTTGGCCTCCTCGAGGTGCGGACGGCGGCGGCGCTCAAGCGGCAGCACGAGCTTCGCCTGGCAGAGCGATGGCAGCGGCCGCCTGGATCGAGGAGCACCTTCGACATCCTGAGGCCGCTCGTCCGTGACAAGAGCAAGACGCACACGGCTTATCAGAGGTTCTTGGTCAAGAGCCTCGCGCACGGAGGTGTTTGGACGCGGGAGCGAGCCCGTCTCGGCGGTCACGCGACCGACAGGAAGTGCGCCTGCGGCCCGGCCGACACCCTGCAGCACCGCCTGTACCACCTCGATCGGTCCCTCTTCCACGGCTGCCTCGTGTACCAGGACAGCGACATCTCTCGACCAGATCCTGGCGCAGAGGCCCTCCGACCTGGACGGCGGCCTGGTGGACATCGGGGCTGAGGAGATGCTCTCCCGCGCCTGCCCCGTCGCCGTCGAGATCGAGCTGGCTGCCGACGGCACCTGCTCCAGTCTGGCCCTCCCCGAGCTGGAACGCGCGGGCTGGGC